TTCTTTTCCATTACTGTTTATTATAGGATATTCCCTGTGCTGTACAGTAGAACTTTGTTGTTTATCTATTTTATATATGCTAGCGTGTATCTGTAAATCCTGAACTCCTAATTCATCCCTTCACCTCTTTCCTCTTTGGTAACCACAAATTTGTTTTCTATGTCTGTGATCCTCTTTCTGTTTTGTAGATAAGTTCATTTGAATTATATTTTAGATTCCACATATAAGTGATATCAGATGGTATTCTTCTTTCTCTGCCTGGCTTACTTCACTTAGTATGACAATCTCCAGGTCCATCCATGTTGCTGTAAATGACATGATTTCATTCTTTTTATGGCTGAGTAGTATTCCATTGTATAAATATACCACATCTTCTGTATCCAGTCTGTCGTTGGACATTTAGGTTGTTTCCACGTCTTGGCTGTTGTAAGTAGTGTTGCTGTGAACATTGGGGTGCTTGTGTCTTTTCGAATCAGATTTCCCTCTGGGTATATGCCCAGGAGTGGGATTGCTGGATCACATGGTAGTCTATTTTTAGTCTTTGAAGGAATCTCCGTACTGTTTTCCATAGTGACTGCACCAATCTACAGTCCCACCAACAGTGTAGGAGGGCTCCCTTTTCTCCACACCCTCGCCAGCATTTAGTTTGTAGACTTTTTAATGAGGGCCGTTCTGACTGGTGTGAGGTGACACCTCACTGCAGTTGTGACTTGCGTTTCTCTGGTAAGTAGCCATGTTGAGCATCTCTTCGTGTGCTTATTGGCCATCTGGAAGTCTTCTTTGGAGAAATGTCTATTTAAGTTTTCTGCCCATTTTTTGGTAGAGTTGTTTTTTTGTTATTGAGTTGTGTGAGCTGTTTGTATATTTTGGAAATTAAGCCCTTGTCAGCGCCTTGCTTGCAAATATTTTCTCCCATTCCCTAGGCTGTCTTTTCATTTTGTTTATGGCTCTTTGTTGTGAGAAAGCCTGTAAGTCTGATTAGGTTCCACTCACTTAGTTTTGCTCTTACTTCTGTTGCCTGGGGAGATGCTTTTATTTTTAATGATTCCTTCATTTGCTTTCCTTTGTTTTAGTTTATTATTTCCTAGACTGACTTAACCATTTAGTTTATTTTCATTTTTCCGTTAAACAATTCAAGCACTAAGGCTGTAATTTGGCAGGTTCTTCAAGTTTTTATATACAATGTCTTCATTCTTGTTATTATTCTAAGTAGCACAGACTATAATTCCACACAGTGACATTACTTAATGGTGAGATATCTCACAATTTATGTTGCAACTATTCATTAAATGTTTTAGGGATAATAACATAGTAATATGGAGAAAAATTAACTTTAGGTTCATTCCCTTCACAATACACCATAACAAATTCTACAATTCAAAGATATAAATGTTAAAAAAAAAAGAATTAGAAGAAAAGACTCAGAAACGGATACTATTTCTAGACTAATATGTAGCTTCAAATATGCCAAATTAAAAATGCCTGCATAACAAAATGAAACCAAGGAAAAGTCAACATATAACCAGGGGAAAAGTGTATAGAATGAATATAAAATAAAGGATCATTATCAAAATATGTTAAGAACCTTATAGACGTTAGCTCATTACCCACACTTCACTTGCCAAAAACTTCAAAGGACATGCACACATCCTTTACCAACAAGGAAACAGTCAAGCCCCCAGATTCACTAGTTACTAAAACATAAAGTGAAACAAACCAGTAACTTTGGTAAAAGGCAGTACTTCCGGCAGGCAAACTGTCAGTGAGCAAAGTCTAACAGAAAATGTATACTTCTGGTACAACTTTAGGAAAGACGGCAAGGAACTAGGACACTAGGAACTAACGTGTGCAGAGCTGCGCACAACTAGCAGCTGTGACTCTCAGCGCAGCAAATAGTCAGGGACACGCCGCACGGCCCTGAGGGGGTAAACGTGATCACGTGACAGCGCAGTGCTGGGCACTGGCGGTAACTCACGTGACGCACACTGCCACCTGTCGAAGTCCTTCTTCCCTTACGTTTAAATGTAAGATTTTAAAACACAATTGTAACTGAATATATTCAGCACTAAGTTTCTCTATTACAGTCATAACCCTATTAAACCCGTAAAACCCCTTCTGCAGGCAGCAGGGAAGGAAGTACACATTAGTGTCGGTCGGTTTGGGCCGTGTGGAGCGCCTTTCATTTCACTTGCCAAAGTTTCTTTAATAAGAACATGTCACTTTTATCCTTTTTACTTCAAAAAGTTTATAGAGATTTTAATAATATTCCAAACCTCGTAAAGTTCTTTCATTGCCGCAAGCTTAGATTCAAACTTTTCCAGACTCCAGACAGTTGAGACCCCTAGCTGCAGGTTTCGGACCTGAACACACGTGTCAGAACCACCTCCTTTATCCGGGACAACGTGTCTGAAAGAAAAACCAAAGGAACCGTGCTTATCCTAAAACACACGCATGCAGTTTTCTGAATCAGAGTAACTCCCGTGAAAATCCAGTCTACTGCTTCAGTCCCCCTGCAGGTACGTGTTTCTCTTAGAGCGGCACTCATGTCCGGTACATATTACACTGAAATGACTTCTCATATGAAAAGATTTTAATGAAAAATCCTAATGTGTATTTTTTAAAAATGAAATACTGATAAATTTTCAACTCAAAAGAAAATTAGTAAATTCCAAAAATATCTAAAATTATTCTGTTTATAAAATCTACTAGTGTGTTAATTGCTGAGAGCCTGGGTCCCTCCAGAGTGAGCCCTGAGCAGGGGCCTGAAGTGTCGATGGGGACTGTGACGCTCGCTCATTCCCAGACCAGCCCTGTAGACCCTGTGCCTTCAGAGAAGCCAAAAGAAAAAAAATCATATGAAGGTCAACTAGTTTAAAGCAGAGAAGTACTTGACAATTAAGGTAGCTACTCACCTGCCAAAAACATAGTTCTTTTCTAACTTCTTGCTGACGGCGTTGGCTTCCTGAATCATCAGGGAGAGTTTCATGGAGCCCCAGTTTGGCTGAACTGGCAGAAAGCACAGACAGCAGACTCAGGACCCACGCACGAACGTGAACACGCACCGCCCGCAGGACAGCTCCGAGAGGAAAAATGATTTCAAGTGAATGGTTGTAACTGCGTATCACAGAAGGTAAAGGGGTATCTGAGAAAGTTTTCTTCAGCTCCCACTGGTGAAATAAAAGCTGCTTCAAAGAAGAAGACATGGAAGAAAACTGAAGTTCACAGAGAAAGGGTAAGACTTTGTAAGAGAGGAAACGCCAAGGACAATGCTTCTCCTTCTAATATTTTTAAAGACTTTCTTTTTTTCCTCTAGTTTCTAATATATTCAAAGTATTAGGTCAAGTATACCATAGCCTTAACTTAAATAGAACCACAATCTTTTTTATTTTGCCTGAATTTTTAAGAGAGATAGATAACACAGACAGAGATACGTCAGGACATAAAGACAAATCTCAGACCACAATTCCATATCCCTAATTTAAACTTAAGATTTTATCATAAACATTTTCTATGTTGTTCAGTCAAACCTATAACCAGTATTACCTTAAAAATATTTTTTGGAAAGATAAAAGTCATTATTCATATGGATTAAAAAAAAATCAAGTATTCATTGCAAGGCACTGTTTTCGGACCTAAGAGGAATAAAAAGGTATGTTAATCCAATGTACGTATTACCTCTTGCAGCAGATATAAAGAGCAGCAATGGTTTCAAAGTTACACGAAGTACACAGCACGACTACGCACGTCCTCGCTAAAGCGCTGACCCTGGATGACGGGCGCGTCACAGGCTCCTGGGCAGAGGGACCCGCCAGGCAACAGTGGGAGATGCAGTCAGCACGACCCAGGATCTGGGAAACTCAACACTAAACCACCTGATTTCACCAATAAATGAGTTACAAGGGGACAGACAGGGAGAGAAGGGAGAGCGAGTGGACAGACCGAGAGGCACGCCTACCAAACACAGGGTGTGGACCACGTCTGTGCCCTGATTCAAGCAAGCAAATAGATCAACAAATTATGAAATAATCCAGGAAATCTGAATACAGACTAGATATTTGATGAGTGTAAGAAATTACTCTATTTTAGGTGTGATAATAACATGAAATTTGTGCTTCAAAGAGTGATGGAGAAGAGAGGCCCTAGCTTAGAGGCGCAGAGTGAGCATGCCCGGGCCAGATGGGCGCGCGTCCGGGCTCTGCTCACATGGGCCAGGGAGGCAGGCACGGAGGACAGGTGGAAAAGGCTGCACGCGGGTGGGGACTGCTGAGGCTGGACAGGACTGCCTGAGGGTTTACTGCAGTAATATCCCTACTTCTATAGTTTGCTTGAAATTTTCTATAATTAAAAAAAGTTTACGTGAAAAACTTGCTGTGTTCTACACAGGAATGTAGCAAGTTACCAAAACATAACTTCCAAGTGAGAAAGAAAACAAAGCACCCAATGATTGTGCACAATTTGGATAATAATTCTCATAAAATGAGATTACGACATTTTAAAAAGCATGATCCACATTAAAATAATACTTGGAATTTCGTTTACTATTTGCTTATGTAACTAAATGTTCTAAAAAGTGAATTTCTAAGAATAATCATTCACACAAATTTATCTAGACTCATGAAAGTCCCAGCAACATCCAGAAGAAAACGTTTCGAACACACACAGGTAGCTGCCACCTCAGCCGCTGCATGGAGCGCCACGGGGCCCTAGGAGACGCCTGGGGAGAGCACCGCGCACTCACTTGTGAGGGGCTTGTCCCTGCTGCTCTGGTTTTGCTGTAGAATCTGTACTTCCTTCGCAATTCTTTGCTTCTCAGTTTCTAAAGCGTCCAGAATTTTTGCGTGGCGGATCCGGTGGTCTTCTAGAGCCTGATTGATGTTCATTCATACAGAGCCACACACAGGAATGTGCAAAGAGAGAAATTGTGAAAAAGACAGATAATGGTAATACAACATAATCCTCACTTCACAGCACGTTTTACTAAGCGTAAAGGTTTTGTTTTTTTTTTTGCCAGTTGATTTTTTTTTAACATTTTTTATTGATTTATAACTAAGCGTAAAGGTTTAACCCGTTTTATGTGTTTTAGTAAGCATAAAAGGCTTTTAAAAAATGATGTATGAAGTATTTTTACAAAATGACTTTTTTCCCCACAACAAACCCATGAGGAGTTTCTGATGGCACAGATTAACCTTTTCTGTCCCATTAATAAGAGCATAAATACCTTCAGGGGGAAAAAAGGAAAAAAACTACTCAAAAAAGCACATATTCAAGAACATTTGTTGACTAAAAAGCACATCAAAAAAATCTCATTTGACAATAAGCCTTATAATAGCCCACTAATAACAATTGTTCCCAAGATTTAAACAGTTCTGTGTTTCTCTTAGAACTCTCTGAGGTGGCTCGCTGGCCACTCTGCGTCCTGGATCTGCCAACACGCGCTCGTCCCGTGTCACCAGGGCTCTGGGGTGACTGGGAGCATTTCCTTCACTTGAGAGTGAAGCTTGAAGGCTAAGATGTAAGAAACCGAAGCAGAGATTAAAACGGTGGCTCTGCAACCTCGGTCTCCGTCAGAGCCCCTCCAGGACTGGTGAGAACAGAGTCTGGGCCCGAGGCGGCGGTCCTGGAGTGGCCCGAGGGTCCGCACTGCTCATGGCGGTGCTGGGCCGCTGGGCCGGCAGGGGTTGGAGGACCACTAGCGGAGACAGGAAGGCGGCCGCCGGGTTAACCAACGGCCTCTGGTTCCACACTCCTGTCTCCTGACTGGGCTCTGTGAGGAGCTCTGTGAGCCTCTGTTCTCGCCTGAGCCCCCAGGACTGGGGGGACAAGGCCCGGCCACGAGCTCTCAGGGGCGGCAGACGCAGGCAGACGGGGCGCCCCCCGGCACCGGAGGTGACCAGTGTGAGAGCTGTGCCTTCCTCCCCTCCGCGCACCTTGCCCCGGTGTCACTTCTCCTTCACGTCCCCCAGCACCGCTGACCACGGAAAAGAGAAAATATGAATGGACTTGCTGGAAAGCACAGCTGTCCCTCAGAAGATCAGTGTGATGCTGTGTGAGCACATCTGGGGGCCAGACGGGCTCTCACGTTGGGACCTGGCTTTGGCTGACGCCTGTCAAGATACCGTAAGTTCTTTACCAAAAAAACCCAGCTTTTCCTCGAAAGAGCTCAAACTAGCAATAAAATGAAGTTACCTGTTTTGTAGCCAAAGCCTCCATCTCTAAGCGCTTTCTGCTGGCGTGTGCTTCCTGCTCAAAACGCTGCTTTGCCTTTTCTAGTTCCTCAATTTTGTGAGTAGCCTTTTGATTATTTATTTCCTGCATTCTCTTCCTTTGAGATTCTTCTTTCTTTAAAGAACAGTAATAAAAAATGAATAGGGCAAAACACAGAGCAGTTCTTCAAAAATAATACCAAAATATTACAAAAGCCCCTTTTATCAAACGAACGCACAAGACACTGACTCACTGAAAGAAGAGGTCCCTCCCTGCGGCCCCCCCACCGTCCGGGCCACTGACCCACTAAAGACGGCTGCCAGCCAGACCCTCCGGAACCCCGTCCTGAGGCGGGTTCTGGGGGTGCAGGACAGCCAGCAGGACAGAGCCCCCCCGCTGCCCTCCTCTCCCGGAGTCTCCCCCCCGCATGCTTCCCAAGAGAAGTCAGACATGCCCGAGCCCTGACACCCCCAGCGTCCCCGCAGAAAGGGAACTTCACGGCCAGCGCGTCACCCGGGGCACCAGCCGAGGAAGAGAGCGCGGCTGCCTCGCACCAGCTCGGCCTCCAGGGCGCTGATCCTGCTCTCATACGCAGCTTTCTGAGAAGAGAGCTCCTGCTGAGCCATTTCTTTTACGATCTGGATTCCCTGCATCATTTCTTCCTTTGCTTTCAACTGTGCCTCTTTTATTTCCGCCTCAAGTCTGCAAGGTAGCAAAATGTTTACAGGGTACATCGTCAAGAACTCTTCCTAAACTACAACAGCTCTCAGTCATATTAGGGTGTTTTCAATTAAACCAAAGTTCAACTCTTAAAATTTAATTTCTGATATTCTGTCAACAGTGTTCTTAAATTTTTACTAGCTTTAGAACTGAACACAAAGAAAATATAAAAGAATGAAAATTTGGTTTCTAATTTAGTTACCACTGCAGATGTCCGATATTTAAGCAAATATGTTTTTTCTACTGCTTAAGTTATATAAAAGTACTTTGACTTATATAAAAATATAAAATATCTATTTATAAAAATATATAAAAATGATGTTATAGTGAACACTGCAGTAAATATTACAGTTGACGTTACAGTAAACACAAAGTGTGGGTATTTTATGTTAAACTAACAATGTTTAGAGCAAAAGTTACTTCACATATTAGTATCTTTCAATTCACGGTTAGGTCCCCAGTTACAAGTGTCCTGGAATGACTCTAAAAGCCTGACCCACGAGCTGACAAAGCAGAGACTGACACAGTTCGCAGTCGTCTGCAATCATTCTGTGGGCAGGTAGGGGTCCCCAGAGGCCCTGGGGAGAGAACCAGGCATGGCTTTCTGATGGAAGAGAAGCCATTTTTGGCCTAAGCCACTCTGGGATCTAAGGCGGGTCCCAACGCCGGCCTAGGACAGCTCTCAGGAGTATGATCTTAGGGGAACAAGAGGACAACGGTCATCAGACAAGAGAGGTAACAGGACAACACATCAGCTGTGAAGACTCCAGCTCTGCTTCAAGGGGAAAGACTGGCCTGAAGGCTCAACCCCCAGGTCAGCAGGGACCTCGGGGAGGGGGACGTTGGCCTTCCCTGACCCGCGTGACTTCAGTCTGCTGAAGCCGTGACGCTGCCGACTCCGCCCCGTGCTGCGCTGAGCTCGGCTCCGGTCAGGTCCCTTCGGGAACATGCAGGTACCCCTGGCTTAGTCCCAGGCCTGCTGAGACGCTCTTTGGGAAAGATCCCACGTTCTTCCTATTTGCTGCACGTAATAAACTTTCTTTCCTCCATCTTTGGTTTGGTTGTGTTTTGGGTCAACACTCACCAGGAGGCCAACCCAGTTTTGGGGTAACAAAAGTCAAAACGTGCAATCAGCTTTGTCACCTTTCCACATACAAGAGGAAAAGGGTGGATGACCATAGGAAACTGAAAGCTGCTTTCTTCTCAACAAGTCAATGCTTTAACAGCTGTACTGCAAAGAAATTTCCATACCCAATTTTACTGAAAATAGAGTAAGAATACTAAAAGAAAGAGGGCCAGGGGCTAGCAGGGCCCGGGGCCGGGGGAGCAGGAGCCACCGTGCAGCGGTACGGAGGTTGAGTCAGGCGAAGAAAAAGTTCCGGAGATGGAACATGGTGATGGCCGCACAACGGCGCGAATGTGCTTACCACCACTGGACTGTCGTTTAAAATGGCTAAAAAGGTGAACTTTATGTCAGTACTTTGTACAACTTAAAAAAAAGAGGGCAAATCAAGTTCAGACTTTTTCAAAAGGTGACAAAGCGGATCCGTCCGGCCCGCCGAGTCCTTCCTGAGCCCCTGCCGGCCCTCCCCGCCCACCCAGCCCTGCTGCTCCTCCTCCTCCAGGACGTTTCTCCCGACTCAGACGCGGACGTTCTCGGCGCCTCAACAGCCCGCAAGTGGCACCTGCAGGCTGGGCCCTGCCCCTCGGCTCCACTCTCCACACCCAGCACGGCGGCCCCTCTGGAGATGGGATTCTGATCATGTCTGTCTTACGTCTGCCTAAAACTCTGTAATCATCCATATCCTCTAAGATGCAGGGCTCTGTCTGTCTGTCTGTCCTGAGAGAGGACGGGTTCCTCCAGTGCAGGAGCTACGTCCCCAGTGCCCTCTCCAGCCCGAGCACCTGGTACAGGGGCAGGTACACAGCACCTGCTCAGGAAACGTGTGCAGGTGAACGAACGCGGGGAGATCCTGACCCCGGCGCCCTCTCCCACATGCTCACTGCTCCACGCCAGCGATAATACTTACTGTCCTCTCTGGGCCGCGAGCAAGTCGTTTTTTGCAAATTCAAAGTCTTTTGCACCCTCGCTCATAAAAGTGTCTCTACCGGATGGTCTGTCCCCTTTCTGGACTCCTCCTGGGTGATTAAATCTAAAATAGTGATCGCCACCAAGAATCACCCGATCACCCTAAAGCACACGAGAAATGCACGACTTGAGGTGAGTCTGAACCAGAACTTGCACGGGACAAACCCCGACGCCCAGCAGTGAGCGTGACCTAGTGCCGCCCATGACAGGCCTACGGACCAGCAGCTAGGACTGAGCAGGGGCTCCCTCAAACACGCCGCCTCCCTGGCGGCTCACAGCCACGCAGTGGGGCGTGTGTTATCACCCCAGTTGTAGGAACGAGGAAACTAGATCAAGCACAGAGCTCAGCAGTAACAGCAATCCATAAGCACCTGCTGAACTTACTATTGGCAGACACTGTATTAAGAACTTTCTGGATTCTTTCGTGTCCTCCTCTCTCACCCCGCCGTGAGAGACAGGACGCACACGAAGTGACCATATGTCCTGCTCTGCCTGCAACAGAATGGCTTACGCCTGTTCTCCTAATGTAGTTATTACTAAAAATGCTCTCAGAAGTGTCCTGATGTGTGACACAAAATCGCCCTCACACATAACATCATAACTGAGGTCACACAACGAATGGCAGGGCCCGGGCTTCAACCCGGTCTGGCCTGACTCCAAAGCCCCGCTCTCACCAGACACGTGGGCAGCCTCCTGGCACCGGCTGGCTGCCAGAGGGCCTGGGTCGCTGCCCAAAGGGAGGCGACTGGTGAGACGCCAGGACAGAGGCCGCAGGAGCTGCAAAGCCCTGCATCTGGTTCACTACGGACCTTACAGAGGAGACCCCGGCTCAAAAAAATTAAACTCCATCCCCAAAGTCAAGCAATTTCTCACACTTAGCAGCAGCCAACTTACGTGATGTAACACCGTGGGTTCCAAAATGAGTTTCCCATTGACGTACGTCTTTGCTTCGCCCACCGGGGTGATGCTCACGGTGCCATCAACATTCCTGATGGTGCTGTGGAGACAGGGGCACACTTACAGCTGCAGCACGGACGAGCAGCAACGGACAGTCCGCCCCGGCTCCTCCTTGGTGTAAAGTCCACACCAATCTGTGACAACTGAAAACTGTCTTATTTTCCTACAGCTAGATTTTGAACTTTTGGTGAAAAAGCCTGGCGATCCACCAGTGGTGGGAAGAATTTCCATTGTCTGTATTTTGATTATAATTACTTAAAAAAAAACCCTCCCCTCACCCCAAAAGAAAAAATTAAAGGAAAAAAACATTAACTATTGGCAGTGGTTTACTTATGAATGAAGCAGTTTCTGGCGTCATTTTTTACTTTTCTGATTCCTGGCTTTATATACAAGCTCTAACAATGGCGCACGCAGCGTTGTCCTAGGGCGAGAACTGGGGCAGCACAGAAGGCGAAGCGCGGAGGTGAAAACACACTCCTGGGTCACCCGCTCAGCTGGACCCCGCGCGTGAGATGCTCCTGTGGAGAATCAGCCGTAAATGCTACAGATCCCTTCGAGTCTTTTTATTCAGAAAACAGGAAAGCAACTCCAAAGTCCGGCTCATCTTTGGATTAACTGGATAGAAAGAAAGAGCAAACTGCAGCAAAAGCCGAGTCCCCAACAAAAGCCTCTCGCTCTAGACTAGGCTCCGAGAGCCGCGGGAAAGACCCGGAGCTCAGCGCGAGCATCCAGACAAGGGAACCCGGGGCGAGCGGCGCAGCGCCCTCCCACCAGGCGTGTCCGAGCCAGGGAGGGTGAGACAGCCCCGGCCTGTTCAGAAGCCTCCTCCCTCCTGGTCTGCCTACTCTGCCATCAAAAGCCCGTGGCGTTCCCTAGCATTCTGGACACCCCCAATCTGGCTTTAGCAACCAAGCCCCTTACCCACCACCGTCTCCCCGTAAGAGCCCCAGCTGGATCTGCCTGTCTGCTTCTCTTCTCCACCTGAGTCCTCCATTAACATAAGACATCTCTCCAGGCCCGACAAACACCAGACTCCAAGCAGCTTTTCTTTAGGGCACAAGCTAGACCTGAACTTCCCCTCTTTCTTTACTTTACCAGCTAAAATGGCCAATGAATATATGATGACCATTAGTCAAAGAAATGCAAAACACATCCACGAGATACCATCTCCTGTTCAGCCAAGCAGCGCGAAGTCCGACAGAACCAGGTGCTGGCAGGGATGCGGAGCAGCAGGTGCCCCCGGCAGCAGAACCGACAGCCGCCCTGCAGACGCGGTGTAGCTGCCTCGCAGAGGTGGACGCACACTTCCTGATGCCACTCATCTCTGAGACGCACGACTGAACAGTGCGTCCCAAACTTTAAGGTGACTTTACCACAGGGTGGGGACTCATCACACTCACACAGCACGCTGGGGAGACAGGGAACTGGCGCCCGGTTCCCACCGGCTGCCCCGAGGGCACGTCTGAGTTCCTCTCGCGGGAAGCTTGCTCCTGAGAAACCCCTCCCGTTTGCACCAGGAGAGGAGACGCGAACAAGAGGACTCAGAGCAGCGGGATGGGCAAAACATGAGAAACCGCCGAATGTCTACCATGAAGTAGGCGACAAAGCAGACAAGTGAATTCACACAGCAGAGCTCCTCACAGCAGTGGGACCAGAGAGCATCGACACAGGTAAGCCCTGAAAACACACCATGGAGCCGAAGTGGTTTACACACACTACCATTCCAGCAATGCACACAGTCTGGCTCGATTCCTGTGAATGAAACGTCTTAATCTGTCTGTCCAGCTAGAGCTCCTGCCACACGTGGTGAACAGAAGCTCCATTTCATGCCTATGATTGTGACTCCAAGGAGAGACACTGTCCCTCAGCCAACGGTCACGGCCAGAGCGTGACTGCATCACAACCTCGCGTCCAGAGTAACGGACCTGCCATCCTTACCAGACAGCCACCCCGTCGGTTTCTTGTGGCTGAAACATGCATTTGAAGGGTTATACTGAACAATCTGTACAAATGAATGCCTCGTGTGAAGGAAACCGAAGTTACCCAGACCTGGAAACCCGCTGAAAAGTGAACAGGTGCCTCTCTGAGAGGACGAACGTACCAGTGGTCCTCGGCGATCAGCACCCCCGCTAGCTGAATGTCGTGGCCGGAGCTGGGTCTGTGCTTCCCGACCGTGGTCGTCCCCTCCTTGAGCATGTACAGCAGGATCTCCGACAGCTGAGGGTCTTCATTCAGGTTGACCAGGTTTGGCAGATGGTTGTCCATTTGAAACGTAATGCCTGCTTTCTAGAAGAAATCAGAAAAGTAGTTAACCTGAATTACAGGTACGGATTGTTAAATCCACCTGAAGTGAATGGTCCGCGCCAAACGCTAAAATCACCCGCTGTATGGGCGACCACCACTCCTCAGGCTCCAGGGCTGCGCTGACCCCGGCCCCACACAAACCGCCCGGCGTCCCCGCAATGTGCCTGTGCTGGGCGTTGCCGCCTCCACAGCGGAGGGGCTCCTCCGGCCGTGTCATCTGCCTTCTCTCACCACTACACAGTGCACACCTCTCAGGAACCTGGCATCACTCCCGCCTCTTCCATCTGTGTCTCCACACACACATCAAAAAACAAAACCTCTCGAGCCTGTCAGCTTCACCTCCTCTCTTCCCTGGAGTCCAGCTCCTCCACGGGCCACTCTCACCTCTCCCCGTAACCACAGCCCCCTAAGAGCACAACGTTCCCAGCCAGCGTCTTTCCTCCCCTAATTCCACCTTTCACACCTTCTCCAGAGGAGTCCACTCAGACAAAGTCTGCTCCTGTCCCTCTCCTTCCACTGAAAACCCTTCGGTGGCCCCAATCCCCTAAATCCACATCCTCTCTTCGTCACAATCCAAATGTCGCATCTCTGTCCAGTCTTATCTCTGTCGCCCACACTCACTGAGTACTTCCCAATTCTCTGGACGTCGGGCAGTGTTGTGCCTTCGTGCTTTTAAATGTGGAATTTCCCTGCCTAGAAATGCCAGCTTTGGTAGCCCGGCAAGTCCCACACAGTGTACAAAACCCTGCTAGACTCTTCCCTCCGATGTCCTCCCAGGGACCCCAACAAAAGGGGTCACCCCTCCCGCCTCCTGCTTCTCCACCCACTGCCCACGTCCCGCCGCGTTAGGCTGCACCGGGAGACGCCGCCGGTGTGCACCCACCGAGCGCCCAGCAGACGGCAGCGGCACAGGCGTCACCTAGCCAGTCCCGCAGCATCCGGGCGCGTGCTCAGGTTTTGTAAACCTGCCTCTGGATCTCAAGCTCTCTGAGGGCCAAAACCGCACTGCTTTCACCTTGGCCTCCCCCACACCTGGCACAGCGTGAACGTTTAATATTTGTTGAACCAACATGAAGGGAGCGAGGCAGTTCGCTTATATTTTAACTTTCCGACCAGCTTGCAGGCGCTAGGCCGCCACAGCCGTGATCTCACAGCTCCTGCACACCAGCCCCTCCGCGGCAGTGCTCTGGGCAGTCAGTGCGCAGCGAGTACTGGAGAGACTCCATCTGCATGTTTACCGGCAGGTCTCTTCCAAATTTTCAGATCAGTTTAGGGAGTTGAAAGGATACCTGTAACTCCTTTGTTACTTGAAGTTTTCTTTTTTCAGCTTGCTCAAATTTTTCTTTCCACATTCTTTCCAAAGACAAACAAAATAGCAGAGTTAAAAACATCCAGACATGTAAGACTGAGAATCAAGACACAGTCAGTAAAGATCAGGACACCACTTAGGAACATCTGAAATGTAAGCGTCCGGGGACGCGCTGCTCACACGAAGGCAGGGAGAAAGGCGGACATGCTCGCCTCCTCAGCCTGCCCCCAGCCCGGCCGCGCCCCCGCCGCCTGCTGCGCCGGCCAGAGCCCACCTCTGCATGTCCGCCATGTCTCTCTCCTGCTGGTGCAGCTTCATCCTTAAGGACGTTATCTCTTGCCGACAGAGCCGGTATCGCTCAGGGTCAATATTCTGACTGCTTCTTTGAGCCGCTTTCAGCTTTTCAATTTCTGCTTTCAACTCTAAACATTTGTAAAAAGATGTATGATTAATAACATCTAATATACAGTAATTTCCACACTACACATAATCCTCCAATCTTCTGTTTTATTTGAAGTTTTAAATATTAATAAAACAGAGTATTTACAGAAATTTTACTTTACTTACCTACGAATCTCTACCTAGCCTTAACCTGAAAAATTGCTCCAGTATTAATGAATTCTCCTCCTTCGTAAATAGGATGGCGGTGTAACAAACTGTCCAAAGTGGGACACTTCTGAGAAGGGAAGTGGGCAGTGCTGATTACACTTGCCTGACAGACATGAACCAGAGTCGTTCCAGGCAAACCACATTCATAAAGACACGTTGCACAAAGATCAGAGATGTTTCAAGTGGGGTTCAGAATACTTATTTCTAATGAAAACGGTCCCATTTGTAAGAGAGAGGGAATTCAGAGGGAAAGATGGACCACGGCATGGAAGCTCGCTTCTCTCTGGCCCACGCCCCTAACGGACCGATTCACCTTCTGCTGCTAAAAAGGCCGGAGGACAGAGGGGTGTGGAAAATGCTCCCCATAAGCGGAGAAAGCGGACAAGCTGAGACTCCTTGCGGGCGCTGAGTCCATCCTAAGCAGAAGGGAGCACTGCGCATAAAGACGCAGGACTGCGCTGGAACCCGGGCTCAAACAGCCTTCAGACCAGTGAATGAAGCCAAGCAGGCGAAGGAGAGGCCACAGAGGACAGGACACAACACCAGGGTCTTGGTGGCTGCGGTCCCCGCGCGGACGGCTCGGCCGGGACACGGCGCTCGGTGCTGGCGGCTCCCCTCCCACTTCTACGCCCTTTTCTGACTGTTCTCCCCTCACTGTTCACTCTCTGTCCCTCTATCCCCCCGTCTGTCTTCCTGAGTCAGGCAGTGTGACTGGAACCTACCATAAACAGGCAGGACAGAGGAGTCTTGAACCTTCCTTAATGGCTTGTTTTCACGACTGAAATTAACCTTTGAGACGAAACCCCTGCAAAGTAAGTTCACGCCGCGGCGACTCTCACCTCTGATGAGCCTGGCGCTCACGTCCTCGTTGACTCGGGCCACGTTGACTATGGCGCGGGCCTGGGCGGCGTACCTCAGTGCGCCCAGCGTCTCCTCCACGCTGCTGGCCGCCGGGCTCACGGTGGCCACCATGGCGGTTTTCGAGTTTCCACTCAGACTCTCTTTCAGCAGCCTTCAAGGAAGCAAAGCCATAGTCAGACTCTGCTTCTCCAACAACCTGGTAACAGTCATCATCTAGAAACACGCAGCAAGCTAACGGGACGTGATACAGCACCGCGCTCTCCACTCCAGGACCGTTAGAATTTTTTGGTATTTGCAGCTATTTTTAGATCTTGTGAGCACTTTATTTTCTCTCACACTTTTTATATTGTTTTGTGATTTTAAAATATGGTTAATTACCAAATATTTAGCAAAATTCCTCTCCCCATGCTAGACTGGGAGCTACTCTAGGAGAGGGACGTTTCCCGTGCTGCCGCAACGTTTAAGTAAGGGCTGGAAACAACGAATGGACGTATAAATACAAACTTTGTTTCCTATGATATTGCAAAAGCCTTATTTTAAAGGAAAAAAGAGTATGAGACTAAAAACCCTATCTTTATTAATGCAGAATGAATTATTCTTAACTTTCAAAAGGAATTAAAAAAAAAATCAAGATTTTCCTCTTGTGGGCTTTGGGGTGGCAATTCCATCATCCTACGTCAGAGGTGAGGGTGCACTGCTGTCACGCTGGGATGCAGTCCTTGCCAGAAGAGGATACGAAATCTACACAGCGTAATCTGAATGTAACGTGTCTGAGGCTAAACACATATTCATTAATGAGACACTTTTTGAACACTTACCTGCCAGCCAGTGCGTGTTAAGCAGTAAAACCACCCGATCTCACTTTACACCCACAGCGACGTGCTTGGTGACACCAGAGGTGTGCAGGCACCAGGGACGGGGCACGGTAAGCACAACCACCACTGACACTCACACGGCACACACTGCGCATCACGTGACCCTCGCCCTCACCAGGAGAGACAGACACCGATCTTCCCCGTGCTACAGACGAGGAGGCAGGCGGGAGTGCCACCAGGTGATCTGCCCGAAGTCACAAGCCTGCAGGAAGCTCGGCTGAGCGACCCCAGCAGCCTGGCCCTAGAACTCATGCGCTCGCCACTCCTCTCTGCCCAGAGTCTCGGGAGGTCACCTGTGCTCTTTCCCCACGGCACTCACTGGATTCCATACAATTCTTCATGCGTCAAAGCTACTTGCCATGTAAGAACTGACTCGCGATAAGGAACGAAAACTCTCCTTCCATGGGCTCGCTCCGAGAGGGCAGATATGACCTTGCCCAGGGTCAGCAGGGACTTGTTAATACTCACGCCCTCCTGTGGATGAGAGAAAACACTTTAAAGTAACTGCTCAGTAATAAACTTATTTCACAAATATATTTCTCCCCTCATACAATCACTGAGTGAATACTTTCCTCCATAAACTACCAACTTTCTTAGGACTTAAAATTCACTAATTTTCTTCAAAAAGCAGTCATAACCAAGAACCACAGATCGCTCTTTGAACCACAGCAACACAGTCACAAGGTGCAGGGGAAGGGAGACTCTTCTTCGGTTACAGATGCTCAGCTTGGCATCGCCTAAAATGCTGCCCCAGCAATGTGTCGCCAACGTGACCACAGCCCCCGACCTTCAGCCGCTCCCCGCTGGTCTGCGTCATGGGGCAGCGCTCGCTGCCCGCCAGGTCCACCAGGTTCACACGGCTCCGGACTCGGTGATCCAGCTCCTCCCCTTCCACAAATTCCGTCTGGAGCAGAAGATATTAAGTAAGACATCCTGAGCTCTATTCTGACCTGCCATCACATCAGTCTGCAAAACAGCTACACAAGATTACAAAGCACTCATTTATTTTTGAAACTAATCCTTCTTAAATCTGATAATTTGTAAGGATACGTTGAGCAGGGCTTGGACTATGTCAAAATAAAACAAATAACTTTATGGGCTAAAACTCACAACTACTCAATTATACAAACAGAGAAAAGGTTTAATGTACAAAGATGCTGTTTATCCCAAAAGTAAAACAGCAAAGTATTTAAAAGCAACATTTATAAATGTCCAACAGCAGAGAAAAATCTGAGGAGTTTTAATAGTCAGTGGAATGTTATGCAGCTATGAAAAATAATATTTTGCAAGTAATTCTAATAACATAAAGTTGTTGCAGATTTTGTAAATTCGTTTAGGTGTGATTGTTAAACAACTGGAAGCCTATATACCAAAATGAGTAGAGGGGCTTTGTTTGAGTAGTGGAACCTGTGGCTCAATTATTTAAAATCTTTCTTTCTGGTATGTTTTTTCAAATACTGTACAACTACATGTTGTAGCATGTCTTGTTGACACTGCATTATCATATACTGACATGACAGTAGCACCATCATAACAAGTTAATGATCCTACATCACTGATTCCTAAGACGGTGAGAAAAATACGCCGCCACAGATGCCAAAAGCCGCTCAGAGTTACTGTGTGTACTTCCTAGAATCCAGTCAGGTTATGGATTTATGCAGCTGTGCTTTTACTTTTGATTTAAAGAACTAGTAAGGAAAACATGAAACCTGAATATATTTACTATCTCACCTAAGAAGCTGATCACGCAAAAACGCACCTTGGTCTGGGTCATCACCAGGGTGAGGACCGAGTGAGAGCGGGAGCTTTTGTCGTTCATCCCGGTGGCGGCAGTGGCCTTCTTCTTGTTCCCCAGCTCCAGCCAAACCTAGGAAGGAGGGGGAGGGAGGGTCAGGGCTGCAGACTGCAATTTACTGGAACAAACTAAAGATAAACAAAGTTGAGTAAGCACATCTGGTAACATACACACATTTATAGCCAGTTTATAAAATAAAATTACCAACAAATGTTTACTTAGTAATTTGTATTCCTTGGAGGGGTATAGACACCCCCCCCAAAAATTGTTTTAATTGTATTCCCATTGTCTATTTTTACTTTTCTGTCACAGAAATTTGAATCACGAAATATTGCCTTTAAAAGGCACTTTCCATAACTCTAAACTGACATGATGGTCAGTTTAAGTTTTTAGTTTTTTAAAAGAGTAACTTTTGATTAAAGTTTACACAAACAAAATCAGCCCGTTATAAATTAACGAAATTAACCTTTATTTATACAAACAGCAAGTAAGGAGAACTATGCTTATGAATTCGTGCAATTACGCTCCGTCTGCTGGAAAGAAGACAAAAGACAGTCAGCCTTACCTGGACATCAGAGTAAGAACTGACAACATTCCTATTTGTAAAAAGTAAAAAGACAAAATCAGTTTTAATGATGATCACACTCTTGTTCTCATAAAATAACTGCCGCCTGTCAGTTACATAATTACTCTCTGAAGACCACAAGGGAATAATTCATAGATACTATTATTCTGACTCTTACAGAATCTTTCATGGTCTCCATTCTAAATGGTAGGAAATAAAATAATGTTTCAATTTTACCAAATTAAAAGAAGTATGATTTTCTTAATGTAATGAAGCACTTTAGCACGTTAACATCGTAAAAGATACACTTTAACCCCCATGCACAGGCACAGGTGCACAGGGGTGCGGGTCTGCTGGTGTGTACGGGTCTCAGCGCGAGCCCAGATTTGCTAAACGGAGCTGAACCCATAGCTGGTGACTTTCCCTTTCCGTTAAGAAAAGCACTTGGAGTGTTGAAAGGCAAAGAAATGACTCTCAGCATATTTCTAACTCTAAACACTGAACTCATTTAGCACCCTCTCCCCCTTCAGCTAAAAGTAATAGATAAAAAAGCAGCTGGAGAGGGAAGGCTTAACTTCCTGGGTACGCAGGGGGAGGGAGAAAGGTCACTATTTCACACTCAGGATAATGGCTGCTCTACGCCAGGCACTTTACAGGTGCTGTGAGAGATATAAACAAATACACAGCAGGCAGCCAACTCTATCTGAGAAGAGAAGGCTAACGTTCGGGGTAGAAGACTCAGCGGGGGAGGCCACCGAGGACGGCGTGGCGCTGCTCCTGCCCCCTTACCCCGCGCGGGGCCCCAGCACCGCCCCCGGCCCACTCACGTGCTCAGGCCCTCGACGTACGGCCCCGAGGTGGGGTGCTCCCGCACTCGCAGCTGTGGGGCAGACACGGCAGCAATGAGGGCAGGACAACGTCATATAAAACGGGGCTTCGGGTGGCCTTTTGCTCTGCACTTTGGGTCTAAGGTAAAGAGATCTGTCTCGACTTTGCCCAGAAGTGAATATAAAGGTTCTCAGGAGGACAGATCTGCAGGCACTAAGACGCCACCGCGCGCAGCGTCAGTCTCCCCAGCCCTCCCGCCGGAGCTGTCCTTTTATGCTTGTAACAGCTTTCCAAAGTATGTTCCGTTTCAGACAGTTAACGTTTTTCTCAGGTTTGCACTGTACATTTTAAACTCTGTGACCAGAGATTTTAAAGCACACAGAAGTCACAGAAGGAAACGCCAGGCTTTGCTAAGCTTCTCGGCGCTGCCGACAGCCGACTGCGTGACCTTGTCAGCTTCTCGCTCTCCACGGTCCTTTTCTTTTTTTTCTTTCTTTCTTTTTTTTAACATTTTTTATTGATTTATAATCATTTTACAGTGTTGTGTCAAATTCCAGTGTTCAGCACAATTTTTCAGTCATTCATGGACATATACACACTCATTGTCACATTTTTTTCTCTGTGATTTATCATAACATTTTGTGTATATTTCCCTCACGGTCCTTTTCAAAATTAAAAATTTAAGTTCTAATAGCAGAATTTTTTTTAAGCTTATGCATTTGTGAAGCTTTCCATTTCACAGAAAATATTATCTACAAGACATCAATTTGTAAAATATCCCAGTGAAATACATATTCTATAATAACAATACAGTTTTTTAAAACTTCACTGCCCTTTGGCTTTATAGACTTTTAGGAATTTGGTATTTGACGTAAGTGATCCAACTAAATCTTGGAATGTTTTATCTTTAACTGTTACTTAATACTTGCTTCAGTATAATGAGGTTACATTTAATAACTAGCTTAATGTCCACTAACAATAATGTTCAGCTTATTTATAAAATAACACTGTTAGACTGTAGGTCACAAGCATTTGCATATAATAGCATTTTTGTAAAACTTTAAGCCATATATCATCTTGAGAGTTAATATAATGATGTGCATCAATAAAAACAGAAATTAAAAACAAGTATCAATTTTTTAATCTTACTGTTTGCTTTCTCTGCCCATTTTCACAAATCAGAAGGTCATGAATTTTCTCATTATATACTTCAAAGAAGCTCATTTCAAGGTGATAGCTGACCTAGCAGGAACAGAAACAGAGCACACCATTTATTTTAAAAGTCTTCGCATTTTTTACAAATCATAGCTGATAAGGGTCTAGTATCTAGAATATATAAAGGACTCTTACAACTCAGCAGAAAGACAAACAACCAATTAAAAAATGGGCAAAGGACTGAACAGACACTTCTCCAAGGAAGATACACAAATGGCCAACAAGCACATGGAAAGGTGCTCAGCGTCACCAGGCATCAGGGAAGTGCATCAGAACCACAGTGAGAACCTCTTCTCACCCACTAGGACAGTCACAGTCACAGACGTGGGAAACGACAAACGCTGCGGAGGACGTGGAGGCAGTGGGACCCTCCAACGTTGCTGGTGGGAACGTCAAATGGTGTAACTGCTGTGGAGAACAGACGGCAGTTCCTCAAAGGTTAAGCACAGAATACCGAGTAACTCGGCAGTTCCCTCCTGTCTACCAAGGAATTACAAATAAATGCAAAAAAAAATGATACTATTTGAAACAGCCAAAAAATGGAAACAGCCTAAGGCCCACCACCTGATGAACAGATAAGCAAAACTATTACTCAGCCAGAAAAAGGAATGAAGGGTCTGTGCACGCTACAACACTGAAGGACTTCATGTTACATGATATTCCGTTCAGGAACTGTCCAGAAGAGGTGACTCCAGAGAGACAGAAAGCAGGGCTTGAGTGGAGGCGCCTGGGTTGTAACTACTTAATGGGTCTCCTTCCGGAGGGTGGGGACAATGTTTCAGACCCAGTAGAGGTGGCGGTTGCACAAGATTATGGGTACACTAAATGCCACTGGGTTTTACATTTTTAAATGGTTGATTTTATGGTGTGTGAATTTTCTCTTAATAAAAGTTTAATTTCAATGACTGAAGTCCTTGAATTTCTTACTAACTTCTAGGTAAGGTTTCATGCAGCCCTCTGGGAACCTGCCTCATTCGTGGCCTTGGGCGCCAAGGAGCAGGACATGAAGACGTGAGACAGGGCTCTTGCCCGTGCGTCTCCACCTCAGAGGATACGACACACCTTCTAACAGGTAAGACAGAGCAACCGAAAATCCAGAGCCAGGATGAGAGATCATGACCATTAACAAGACTAATCAGAAAGCGGAGACACGGGAAGGAGGAACGAAGGATGAGAGACGTGGGCTGGACCTGAGTGCGGACCCTCCATCTGCTAAGTTAGGGCCTTAAATCAGCATTTTTCTCCCTAAGTGGGGCAAAAAGCCATCATCAGACCACGTAGGGCTGAGCTTTTCCTCCTTTTGACTCTGAAAGACCAGGCAGAAAGGCCAAAAAGGGAAAATTTGCTTCCATGCAGCGTTGTGACAGTGAGAGCATGGCTTCTTGTTAGAGAAGTAAATTCCACCCACTGGCCAGCACTAACAGGACTAGAAGCTTCCAGCGAGCTTCAGGGAGACTGAGGTTCAAGGCACCAAGTGTTTACTGGGCCCAATCGGTACACAGTGCTCTTCCCGGAGCTGGCAGAGAGTCTGAGGTGGCCTGGACCCCGTCTTTATCCTCGGGGCGCTACCCCTCTGACTGGAGGTGCACTGCATGTGTGCTGTGGAGAATGGTTAGTGTCCTGGGGGAGGAAGGAAGCCCTTCCAGGTAGAGACCAGGTACAGGGGACACCGTGCAGTCACAGGGTTTCTTACAAATGCTGGGGACACAGGTACTGGGGCTCAGAATCCAACAGACATGTATTAATGACTTTTACAACATAATATGGTGTATTGCGTGATGGGCTCCGGGCCTGGGAGGTGGGCATGCAGGGGGAGGAGGTGGGAAAGGTGAGGAGGTTCACATCGTAGAGGACCGCACCTCGCCTCCTCCTCGGAGGCGCCTGCATCAGCTGGCCACACCACCTCCGTCCCACACCGCTCCCCTTTACCACCCTGAATAATCCCAAAGGTGGCAAGCCACATCACTTGGCTGGGTCACCACGTGCCAGGCACCGTTTAAAACCTGAACCCCTTTCGGCCTCGCAGCACACCTGTGAGAAAGGCCCCGCCGCCAGCGCCCTGTTCTCTTGCTGAAGCGCAGAGAAGCCCCGGGAACTGCTCGGGGCCGCACGTCAGCAGAGTGCTGGAACCTGGATTCAAACCCCACCTGTCTCCAAAGCCCAGGCCCCTAACCGTCATGCCCCACTCCTCCCAGCGGCAGTCGCTCCGCACAAAACCCGGGCACCCCGGCCCCGGGAAGCCACCAGGGGACCCTCCTCTCCCCAGGCTTCCACCACCTCCGGGCTGCTCTACACCCAGACTCTGCACCCAGAGGCAGCCTTTTCTGTCGGTCCCCTCCTCCTCCGACCTTCCACCTCAGCACTTGAGGAGAGAGGCTGGCAGAAGAGAAGGCCAGAGTCAGACAGAGCGCCCACGCCCGCCTGAAAGACGGGGCTCAGCGCCCTCTCGGGGCCTCACCCACCGCCAGCGAGCCCTGAGCCCCTCCCCTCGGCCTCCATCCCCTACCGACTAAGGCCCCTGATGTGTCAGCCCCCACCCGGCCGCCCCCGCCCCCTCCCCGCACGCTCACACGGCCCCCCACCGGCCGGTCCGTCCTCGACCCCGGCCGACCTCCCGCCACGCCCGCCGTCCCCGTCCCTAACCGGACCGGACGGACGGGACGGCCTCGAGAC